GTAAGTAAGTATTATTATATATATATATATATATATATATATATATATATAAAAGCAAAGCATTTTTTACGCGAGACTTTAATCGTTCCATTGAAATATTGTTCGTGATTATAAAAATAATTGATTATTCATTATTTATGACTAAAGGGAAAATTAAATTGATGAAATTCGACATAGAATAAAGAACATGCAGCTGTCGCTATATTATATCATTGCAATACATGTATAAAAATATGCTTTTAGACGTTATTTAATGTTACAAAAAAGTTTGAACACAATAGAGGCAATGGATCTTCGCATTATAAAACGAAATATTAGTTAACGTTAATCTAAGCATTAACTCGATAATCCAATATCAATTTACACTACTGTGGAAAATTTTTCTTCATCGTCGCTCGTTATAAAAACGAGCGAGGAGGGAATACTGAAAAATAAATCCCAGTGGTTGAAATGAGACGCGTGTTAAGTTACTAGTTGACAGGAGGAACAAACAACACTTTAAAAAAAAAATATAAAAAATGATTATTAAAACTATTCTTTTTCGCTCAAGTGAACAATTCGTTAGTAAAACCATATACATAATAGTTAATATAACGTTATGCGAATATGATCGATAATATATATATATATTTATGCGTATAACTAGTCAATAATTCTATATGTTACATATATAATTAGCAACGATGTGAGATCTGAGAGCACGACTTCAAACTCAATCGACACGGTCTATGGGAAACGCACATTCTATATGATGATTTTTGGTTCTGAACGAAGTCTAAAAATAACAGTGCCGACGAGACATTAGACGCGTTAAAGCTACATACTGTGCTAACTTATAAAAATAAAACGGAAAAGACGTGCGTTTCTGTGAAAAATACAATTCGAATAAAAGAATAGTGTTTTTTTTTCTTCCCTTTTTCGTAAGTACGACTGATAATTCTAAGTATTCGTGCTGAATAAGCTTTACATTTGTCTTGACGTACATCCAACTGACGCATGTAACGTACTTTGTTGATTGCACACCGAGCCTCGAGAAACACTAAAATAACAATAGCGAAGCCAATAGACATATAGACGAAAAATGAGACGAAGAGCAATTGACAAATTTTAAAATATCGCTTTATGTAATTGTACAACTTCAAAGAAGATCCTAAAAACGGCACTGATAAATTATACAGAAAACCGTACTGATTTGACTTGGTTTTAATGATTTCCATAACATTGCAATATACTTCGCCAATAAAATGAATTCACTGGAAACAGGCCGTGTTTATAAAAATATGTCTTAAATAATAACGTAATAACATAAAGCATGAATCCCTATGTAAATTATATATCGTTTCTTGTTGCATAAAACGTAGCGTTCTTAAAAAAAAAGGTGAGCGCAGCTGTTGCACAATACATTAAAAATGAATAAGCTTTGTCATCATAAGATAGACGAAAAAAATAAGTTACGACAACAAAAGTGTGCGCAACAAAATTGTAAATGTATAAGAAATTGTAATTTTTATATTGCTATATACATTTGAATTTGATTGCTGTGTTTGTTGCATTTACGACCGATGCGCTTACATAACGTAATTATAGCGACGTTACGATATTATTATGTCAATTCGGTAAAGCGTTATATCTGACAAGATTTCTGAAAATGAAAATTTAATTTGATGAGTAAAATCTCTTTCTCACTCGCTTACATCTCTCTTTTTTTCAATTGTTGTCTTACAATTTGCAATTATCATCGAGGAAAATACGTTTATTGAAATCTAACAATTGCATTTTTATTTTTAATTTCTAAAAGTAATTAATTTCTAAAGTAAAAAAAAACATATTCGATATTAACTTGCAATGCTTCAAGCATAATTAATTTCTTTTAAAGATACGTTAGCGCAAATGCTCGTCGTATTCACTCATATATTCCAATAAAATCCTTTACGAGAGACCATATAATAAGGCACGCTTCTGCCTGAGAAGGCACTGAAATATAATGTTTATACTTACGTATAGCTATAAATCGCATTGCATACATGTAAATCATGCAAAGGAGGGAGATCAATTTGAAACGAGATACTATTGATCGAAGATTATTGTGCATCAAAATATTTGTACAATTTTATATTTTATAAATTTACAGTTGTCCTACACTGCCAAACAATTCTTTATTCTACTTGGTTCTTTTTAAAAATTTAAATTCGCTGATATTATCGTCAATCATAAAAATAAATTTTATCTTTTCCTCGCGCTTTCTGTCGTGTATTCAAATTTTCATCTTGCCTACTTTAGCAATAATACAACCATATTTTTTTGTTTTTCAAACGGAAATTCCCTGAGACCTTTGATTTCATTTTCTTTATTTCTAATATTCGAAATAAACTTAGAATTATGTGTGCATTAGTGGATGGAAACAATGTTGATTAAATAAGGGTAGTTGTTCTTCCTTTTTCGTTTTCTTTTTAACGCAAGGATGTCATTTCTAATTTTACTGCTAAGAAAAGCAAAAGTATCTCTCAAATATTGTAACAAACCAATTCAATTTAATATATGTCCTCCTCTTAATATAACAATAATCTATATAATGAAATCTATAATGGGTCGAATAACAATGAGATTAAAATAGTACAAATTGACTTAAAATTTTCCGCGAGCGAATGTTAAATCGCGTCCGATCCGTACCCACCGGGATCAACTAAATCTACATTCATTTCCGAAGAATGGACACACGATGATGACAGTCCTGTAGATTCGTTTGCTTGCGTCTCTTCCGCGTTTTGCCCGCTTGATGCGCACGGTTCGAGACAGGACGCCGAGGTTGTTTGAAATATATTTAGAGTCTCGTTTGCACTCCCGGGGTAGTTCCACAATCGCGCAGTCTTGGACGGCGTCCCGGCATCATTTGCGTGTGGCCGTTTGTGTGGCAGATTCGATCTTTTTCCCGCCGCCGCCGACGACGACGTAGTGATCGGTCGCTGATGCACAGCCCTACGGGGGAAACGTTTGGGAATGGTGATGGCAGGAAAAAGGAAGACGGTGCTAGTACCCATACTCCATCACATTTTTGCGTGTCTCACTGTTTAAACAAAAGAAATCTCCCTATCTTAATGGAGAACTATGAAATTGACAAGCACATTTTATGATTAATCGACTGCGAGAAAAAGAAAATATTGCGAAGACAAACTCGTTTGTTTTTCTCTTTTAAATAACTAAATAATATTTAGCAGTTACTCTTCACAAATTCAAAAAATGAAGAGAATGAATAACGATGTGATATAGAGATTTTCAATGTAAAAATAATTTTCTAAATAGATGCTAACACAGTCTAAGATAGCAGCAAAGGAGTCGTTAGCTGTGAAAACAATATATTATGCCAAATCGATCGGTTTGTCGTTAAAATTTTTCACGCCGCATCTCTCTGTGCTGCTTCGATCTCGATCACGTTTTGTTTTCAAATATCACGTTTTATTCAAATATCACAACGACGAACGCGCCTACGAACGGGCGCTCGGAAGAAAGAACGAACGAGGGCGAGAGAACCAAAAACCAAAGAAAATGTGACCAGGCGAATGTATCTCCTTATCGCACGATAACGTTACTATTTATCGCTCAATCGCATAGAAACGCATCGTAGATACACGCAATAGATGCATCACCCAATCGATCCCAGAGCCGGAGCATTGTGTTATTTCGAGAATCAGCATTGCATCAATCAACGGATTACTCGTAAATACCAACGATGGTCCTTTATCTTTTTTGCCTCACATTTTTCCTTTTTCTTCTTTGCACTGGAAAGTGAAAAACATTTGATTCTCGAGATGATACGTGATCAGAGATCACGAAACTTCGTCCGTGCCAAAAATTGTCGTCGTAACGAGCGCGTCATCATTGTCGTCGTCGTGACCATGGCAATTAAACGCAGCGAACGATTAATGACTTAATTCAAGCGAGAGCTTGGACGACTGCGAGAGACATTGTCGTCGTAGTAGAAAACGCCCTTCGGGATGCGCCCTTCCGGATGCGCCCTCGATAAGAAGGGCGCGATTCTCTGTTTTTTTACCTCGTTCGTCTCCGTCACTTTCACTCTCGTCGAACCGGGGATGGTCAATCACCAATCCCTCTATATTCACGAGCGACGGGCGACGAGAGCAGCGACGAGTGTAAGAGGGGCTCGTCGCCATCACCAGAAGTGAGGCTCGGAGTCTCGGGTGTAAGCATCTATTTGGTAGTAGGACGAGCGATCGGGGATCTTACAGGGAATCGAGATGATTAAGGATATGGGTACGCGCGGATGGTAATATATTTGGTTACAACTCCATGTCTTGCGCCTCGTCCTCGCTGAAATCACTCATCGACGACTCGCTGTCGGAGGACATCCCGTTGCCGGTGCCGCCGTTCTCCTGGTCCCTCAGTGCCTCCTCCGTCGCGTACTTCCTGACGTAATCTGTCGAGAGAGAAGCCAAAACGGGAAATTGCATTGATGCCGTAATGACATTCTAAGATCCGCGTGTATACACGCGGAAGTGACTATGACGAAGAACTTTATTCTAAAAGGAATAAGCGGACTGATTACCGATGAAAAACACCTTAAAAACATCATCACTAGGAAAACCGTTTATTAAGCCGTTAATCGATACTCACCCGCCACCTTCTTCTTATATTCTTCGGGTTTGTGAAGATACATCGCGGCAGCATCGCCGTTCAAGGGGTCGATTGGATTGGGATATGTTAACAACTGAGGCAGGAAAGATTCGAAAATATTCGATAAGTCTGAAATAACGAAGAAGAAAACACGTCGTTAGTGATCACTTTTAATCACTCGGTAATCCGTTAACTCTTCCTCGTTCGACAAGGACGAGGTATACTTTATTAATACGTTAATCGCCAGAGCACGTAATAAATAGAAAATAGATATGGTGTATACCGTCGTAAGGCAACGATGTAAATGCTCTCAAAGCGAAGTCTAAATTAAGTTACTTTCTATGATACAGTTAAGTAAATGGCTAAGTGAAAATTGCGCGGGTATCTCGTGCTATTTACAGACCCGATCGAGCACGGTTTTACGAGGCTAAACGAATACGTACCGTAAAGGGCAGTCCAAGCCTGGTTTATAACGTCTAGACACACCGTGCCCGAGACTTCGTCAATGTTGGGATGGTAGACCTTGTTCATGAAACCGATCGAAGGAGATTTGAAAGGGTAGTGCTCTGGTAGATGAACCCTCACCTTCCATATCCCACCCTCATAGGGCGCTGCAACGAAACGTAATGCGATTACATAAGTGCATTAATTATTATATTAATTATTATATTAATTCCACTGTCTATTTATGTGCCGTTAACATAAATCGACAGATAGAATATTCGTAATAATTAAAGCGTCATAGGCAAATGTAATGTGATCTCACAAAGAGAGTGAGTTTTAATTAGTTTCGCATAATTAACAAACAATATATATATAAATCGAAAATTAATAGAAATTAACTAACTTTTCTTCTCGCAAGAGTGGCTAATTATTGCCGCTATTATTATTCATATCAGTTTTTCAGGAAACTTTCGGACATGAAAATAATGAAAAGCACGCGACGCACGCGGGCCGAAAAATTTCACTTTGCTCGTTAATTATTTGACTGGATTTTGACACGAAATATGTCAAACTGAACAAAAATAGGAGCACCCAGCTCCCGAAAACCAGTCGTGCTTGTTGAATCGAGGTGAATAACCGAAACGTCAATATCTCGTCAAAATTCGACACGTTTCTAGATGCATCGTCCCGGCAATCACGCGTGTAATCATTCCTCATCGCGTCCGCATGACTCGATCTAACGTAAAAAGGAAAGGAAAAAAAAAAAAAAAAAAAAACAAAACGTACGTTAGTTTATGTCCGCGATATCGGCGCTCATACGTGCAATTGCGCGTACAGTTATCGGCAATATATACGCATACATATTGCAGGACACAGACAGACAGACCGACGAGTGCTATCTCATAATTTGCGATAGATCCGAGAAACTGGAACGTCCAACGGTAAAGCCGGTCTCTCCGGGAGATGCCCCATTCGAGAGGAAGAAAATAATGTTCGCGCGGCGCAAAGGAGGATCCGTCCATTGTGGCTGTTTTCGGTCGAAGAGCGCTGTTTTCGGTCGAAAGTTCGCTGAGAGCTTTCCCCTCTTTCCGCAAAGTGAGGATCGCGAAGCCCCGCGTGAGCACAGAGGCTTTTACGACGGCGGTATTTCGCGAGGGAGGAGGATTCTCAAAAGAGCTCGAGTTTCTCCTTCCTGCTTTGTATAAAATTACCCTTCAACCGCGAGGGTACTCCGTCGAAAATCCTTTCTCTCGATTCAAGTTGCAATTAGAACAGTAAGAATTATAAGATGCCGGAGTATTTACTATAAATAAAAAATCGCAGAGTTAGATTATTAAGATAGATTAATACGATTTGATTACTGTCTACATTGTCAATTATTATTTCATATAAAATATATAAATTGTTAAATCTTTCTAAATTTATTATTTTTTTTTTTTTCAATAAATTATAAGTCATATGTTTTTATGCAAGAAAGGATCGTGTAAAACTTGATCGGTTTACGTAAAAATAAAAAATTCAAATCTATTCGCAATACTAGAGCCGTGGGAATACATATGGCGAATTTACTCAACATTTGTAAAACTAATATGTTTGCACATTTGCCAAGTCACGCGCCGTGAGAAAGATACCTTTAAGAGGAAAATGACGAGCAACTTTGTTACTCGTTGTATCGAGTTAGGAAATCGAATTGAGTTCGTCATCATCGATATATCGCAACATATCGACACGGTTATTTGTAAGAACAACAAATGATTAACAGCGGATCGGATGATAATTAAACCTTCAATAAAAAGATGAAGTCACTTTGGTCAAATGCAGATGCAAAAATAAACCATGAGTGCCGGGCGCGTATCAATTAATTAATCGAATAGAAAAGAAATATAGAAATTGATTTGAATTCCCTCTGCAGCGCTATATTCATCTCGTCCGCGGGTATTTAATTATTCCGCAGAAATTGTAACAGTGATTTATTGCCATGGCAAACTGCGCGTATCGGAAAGCTGAAAAATTAAATCGTACCCCCGAGTGTGTGCAATTCCGATCTCGACAAAGAGCTAAATGGAATAAGACAACTTTTTACGAGAGACGAGACGATTTTTTTGCCGTTTGTCGTAACTCAAACGAAATTCAAAACGTTTCTTTGATCCCGCTAATTCCCTATTTTAAGGGAGGCGCGTATTTCCCTCCGTTCCTTCTTCTTCTCCCATAATTTATACAAAATTTTTCGTCGGAGTTTCAAACCGGAGAGCGCGTATCTCCCCGCTTGAAATTCAAATCAATTTCGAAAGTCGTTAAGCAACGCGCTTTGATCGGCGTTACACGGATATTGTTGCAAGAGGTACGCGCTTAATTCTCGAACGGTAAATCCGCTATTACGCTCGTTTACGCGTATCTCGCGTTTCTCCCCGGGTCCCCGGTGGAGGAGAGTCACGCCCGACTAACTTTTGCCTTCGAAACGCGGCGGCCACCGTCCGCGTGCGAGCTTCGGGAAACGTGATCCACCTGCGCGCGTGCACGCACGCGTACGCACGCTCACGCTTCTATTGCGCCAACGGATTCACGGGTGAAAGTATCAATACCCACGCGGGCCAACGCGCCGTATCGAATAAATCAAGACTGTTGCGTTGAAATTTAATAGACTGCCCATTACACGTGTGTATAATTTTCGTAATCTGCGTCGTTAACTTTACGGAGGCACGCGTCAAATTTCCAACTAAAAAAAAAATCCCCCTTCTCGTTCGGTGAACGATTTATCGTAAAAGAAATGCAAATTAAAGCCTCGACTGAAATCATACGAGATTTATGTACACGGAAAGAAAAACACTTTTTCTGGCAAATCTAAAAATTTGATCAGATACAGATCTGAAAATAATTTTGTTGGCTTATCAAAATTATTTTGTAGAACACTTAAATATGATGATAATACTACAAAAATGTTTGATCTTCTAACAATCAATTTGAACATCGTATAATTTTGAAGGCCCAACAAAATCGTTTTCAGATCTGTATCTAGCGAAATTTTTATTATAGATTTGCCAGCAAAAGTGTTCTTTCCATGTAGATAAGAGTAATGCGAAGAGACTTATGTATATATTTTTAGTATGTTTAAATAATGAGAGAACAAATTTGTTTGTTCGTTGAGTGACTATCTGTGAATGTCAAGCGTAATCGTCATTCCCATCACTGTATTCGTATTGTCTGTAATTCTAATGCAATGATGAGTTTACACATTTTATGCTTCTACTTGGAGAACCATTGCCCCGAATAGGAAAAAAATGGGTAAGGAGAGTTCTTGAAACAGTACGCGTAAATCATGCGAAAGGCTGACTTTTTCTCACAATTTACAATGTTAATAGCGATTAAAATCCTATAAGAAAAAACTGAGTGCGGCCGCTTGAGAAAGGCTTACCAGTTGAATGACCGGTTCCAGTAATAATTTCCACGCGCGGTCTCGCACCTTCGACTCCCTCATTTTCTCGAGAGTATTCGTACGAAAGTATTGCACGAACAGGTATATTCATTTTGCGGCGGAAACGACTCCGCGCGCATGCTATTCTTTTATTCGCGTTTCGATCAATGCTCGTGTCGACCGCGTAACGAATCTGCGAAAAAATATGTCCGCTTTCGTTCGAAACAATCGGGAGAAAGCGCAGATGGTGTATTCCAATTGCTTTCTAAAACAACGAATTATATCCCCTGATCGATCTCGACGAATCATATTTGATGCGATGAAAATGATAGCTCTAGAGTGCGCGTTTCAAATAGCAAACGTGTGCGCACGTGTAAAAGAAAATAGATAAAACGCGCGATATCTAAAAAGTTATCTTTCTCTCTCTTGAAATAAGAAATCGCTAAGCTTCTCGTATCCAATAAAATTTATAGCGACAATACCGACGAGAAACCGAACGATTTAGGAGCGATAAAGAAAAATCAATCGAGCGAATGACCGAATCCAAAATATGAAGAGCTTTTTTGAACGGTATCGACTGAATTTTTGATAAATCTCTGCGTTGTACGTTTGAAAGTCTGCAACGCGATATAAAGTTCGCATCCCAGTTCGGCGTGTATCTCCAAACAGTAAGTGAGTTTTATTTCTATCCAGAGACGCGTGAAAGTGCAATATCCACGTGCGCGTGGCAACAAAAAAAATATCGCGAGCATGGCACTCCATTTCCGTTTTTGTTGCAACGCACACATTGTAATGCTGCTTAGAGCCAGGACAATAAACATACACAACAGTATTTGCGCAAAAGAGCTCTCGTTGCGCGATTTCATTTTTTCACCAACAGAGTTAATCCATCGTTTTAATGAGTTGAAACTCTGGACCCGTTATCTCTTTCGAGAAGCTAACAATTTACATTTTAACGAGAATAGGACAGTTTTCGAATTTTACGAATGAAAGAGGAGGTGGTTTTTGTTTTGGAAAAAATAACACTGCTAATTTATTAAACGGTAATTATATCCGAAACATCACCATTCGGTCTGATGTTACAGTTGTGATCATAATTATCAGCTGAAGAATACATTGTACCCGGAAGACAGAATTTGACAAGCCATGTTGCAATTTTATCCGCGAACATGCGAGAAAAATAATGCTTTTGCCGAAGTATCTAAAAATTTGAAATACAAATCTGAAAATAATTTTCTCGGATCATTAAAATAATTATCTAGAGCTTAAGTATAATGATAACGCAAAAAATTTTCATATTCAGCTAATTTAATATTCTACACAACTACTTTGATGACGCAACAAAATTATTTTTAGATCGGCATCCGGCCAAATTTATATTTCTGCAAAACTTGGTTGCTTTTTATGCTAAACAGACTTTTGCCTCTCGTTTTTTATAAACATCGAATATTGCGACTGTGATTTGCGATTCCCATCGGGGGATCACGGAGAGATAGCGCTGTCGCATTCTTGTCTAGATGCAGACGCAGATGCAGATGCAGCTCAATACGGAGGAAGCCGCAGCCACGCTTGGCCCACTGACCTACTTCCGGCCGCGCTTCCGCGTGTGCGACACTTTGTCACGGTAACGTAAAATCAGGATATACGTCGGTGCGCACCCAACTTCCAGTTTCGTCGTTTTTTCTGCGCGAGCCGAAGCAGCGGCGACGGCAGCTTCGCAGTTTCGATGGAAAATGCACGACTCCATATCGCAAT